GTTAACAAGTAGGAAAAAGAAGATAAAAATTTGGGCTGTTGCGGACGTTGATGTTTGATATTTCGGGTAAAAATGAACATCCAAGTACAAATCTACATATGTTGCTCTATCATCACTGAAAATCTCACGTTTCTGTGTTAAGCGCTTTTCTTGAAAATGCCCGGACAAACTAACCCTCGGAAATCACCAAATCTCGAAAATCTCCGGACCGGAAGTGATGTCATCAAAATAAAAAAAGATATATCTAGATTTTTTAATTCTCTATCAGACCTGAAAGTTTCATGAAAATCGGGCGAGCCGTTTCCGAGAAATCGCGTGCACAAAATCGGTAGGAAAAAAAAAACAATAATAAAAATAGTGGAAAAGAAACCTAAGAATAACAGTAAGGTCTTCCGCTGAAGTCGGAAGACCTTAATAATAGGGAAAAAGAAACCGAACGAAAACAATAAGGTCTTCCGTTGGAGACGGAAGACCTTAATAAGGAACTTCGACAAATTTTTGTGAAAGTCACCATGTATTTTAGAGTATGGCTAGAAATTTAGTTAAAAAGGTAATTTATGGGAGGATATAGATAATATGTTTTATACAAAATTTTTCCCTTTTAATTAAATGTTTTTTTTTAAATTGATTTAAGAAATTGTTTAAAATCACAACGAATATTTTAAAAAAATCTTCTGCAAAACGCATCCCTTCAGTTGGATGACATTTTAACGTCCATGTTGAATTTGCTACACTACACCAAATTTCACTTGATTATAAGGTGTAAATTATTTGATAGGTTGATTGCTGTGAATTGTGTTTAGTAATTTAGTCTCGTGTTCTGTGCATTTTATGGTAAAATGAAACGCTTTGGATTTTGTAAAATAATAAAAAATAAGGAACTTCGACAAATTTTTGTGAAAGTCACCATATATTTTAGAGAATGGCTAGAAATTTAGTTAAAAAGGTAATTTATGGGAGGATATAGATAATAAGTTTTATACAAAATTTTTCCCTTTTAATTAAATGTCTTGTTTTTTTAAATTGATTTAAGAAATTGTTTAAAATCACAACGAATATTTTTAAAAATCTTCTGCAAAACGCATCCCTTCAGTTGGATGACATTTTAACGTCCATGTTGAATTTGCTACACTACACCAAATTTCACTTGATTATAAGGTGTAAATTATTTACACCGGGTGTACTATGGTGTAGACAAATCAAGCGCGCCCTATATCTTCGATAGGCGTAGTGTAAATGCAATAAATCTGTATACTTTAAATGCATTATTGGAAAATTTACGGAAGCACAGTGCTGGCAATTAAAAACATTTTGCTATGTCGTACATGCGAGATAATAAGTAATTTTCAAAAAAACCCCAGCTACGGATTGATTTTTAACATTAATATATCTACAAGGTTTTAAACACTTGACGATATTAGTAATGGAAATTCTATATTGGTTTACATTGTCGACTCTCTGTCTCGGTCAAATGCCAAGAATCTGTGTGTACTACGTATTCCACAGAATGCTTTGTTGATTTTGGTTTGTATTTAGACAAAGGTTATTTATATGATTGGGTTGGATTTTTTATGGAATACGATTAAAATTAACTTTTCACTATCGGCTCTAGATACTAAAGTAAATGCATTGAAATTCATAGTCATCCATATCACTGTGAGAAATCTTACAAAACTTAGAGGGAAAACGTATGTTTAAAAAGAAAAGAAACAGATACTGTATTATTATTATACCTCATTATTATTATTCTATACAACGTGTTATCTGATTGGTTCTAGATTATCACGTGACATAAATTCCCTGTCGTGGTCATGCTTTTCATCAGATTCAACCACTTTGGAAACCTTGTGCATTTTCCCGCAATAGTTATCGTTCGTTGAACGAAAACTCCCGAGAGTAGTAGACGTCAAAGTAACCTGGTTCACGTCACAAAATCGCGGACCTTTTGGGGGTCTACCCACTAGTCCGAAGGTTCACTAATCCGATTTAAAAAAAGCTACGAACTTTTTGTTTACATATCATAACAAGGAGCGATATGTATAGCTGCAGCGTTGTGGTTTTATATTTTAGTCTTTGGCCATAACGCTACAGATCCCGTAATGCAAATATGGTGCAATTTACGTTGCAATATTTTCTGCGCATGGCTGGGGGTGTATTTCTCCATTTTTTGGCATTTGTAAATCAACTACCTTTCATTCCCTAATTCTAGACATATTCTATGACCAATCTATATATTTTATCCACCTCCTAACCCTTTATAGTCGTCTCTACAGACCAATAAACTCGCTTGTTTTGATTTTTCTGCTATTCGACAAAAATTTTGAACAAGCGAGTTTATTAATCTGTAGAAAACTCTAAAGGGTTAGGAGGTGGATAAAACTTACAGGTTGGTCATAGAACCGTTCGCAGAAAATCTTGCGCCGTAAATTGCAACATATTTGCATTACGGGATCTGTAGCGTTATGGTCTAAGACTAAAATATAAAATCATAATGCTACAGTTCTGCAGCTACGATATATATTGCTTTAAAAAATATAGCGTTTTATGGAACATTTACCTTTGTTGATTATCACTACAGAATATGATTCCATAAGTTCGCCCAGTTAGATATCGATATGTAATTTTCTATTACTTGTTGAGGTTTTCAAATTTCGTTAACTCAGATTTGAATTAACAGTAAATAATTTTCACACACGTTTTATTAAACTTTATGTGTGCTTTAGTGGAAAACAGACTAAAGCTTTATAAAATTGACATGAGTAACATTATCTTGTGCATTTTTTGCACGAGGACTAGACACTCACACATATATTAATCACCACCACAGGCACATGTACAAAAGTTGTGTCTGAAAAATTCTAACTTTTACGTAGTGCACATGAGAATAGGAATGCTGCAATGAATTCCTCCAAGTTTTAAAGCACAATAGATTTTATAAATGTCAACTGATCAGATCATGGTACTTTAAGTAATATAATTTAGATTTTGGTCAAAACACTTCATAGAATTTTGAGGTATACACAAAATCACGATTGCATAATGCATGTTCAGATTATCAAAAGTTTAAAATAAATCTATTATATTCTATTCTATTTCATTCTATGCTACATATTTCTTCATTTTTCCGCAGCATTAAATTTCCCGAATGATTTTTTTCCCCAAATTCTCCCTTCACTCACAAAAGGTTTGCTTGAATGATAAGTCCAAACTAAAGAACTCTGAATTGAATTGCAAACAAGTTTAGTACTTGTTTTTATTTAATTTTGACACAAATCAACCTTTATGTTGTTGACAATTTTTCGAGGAAATAATAGTCATTCATCCCAGCGAGAGTTCATCTATCTCTTTTATTAAAGAGTCACTGAGCTTAATCGTACACGTAAGACTTATACCAAGGTCGCATTTAAGCCGATGGTCGGACGATGATCGAAGGTTGGTCAACGGACTATTCAAAGAAAGTTTCAATACAAGGCCAACTTGATTGGTCAACAGTGGAGAAAGAAGGGGTTGAGATGCAGGAATATGAATAAAGTAAGGGAAGGGCCACGCCTTCATTCAAGGGGAGATAATTCAGAAATAGTGAAAATATGATGGCATATTTTAAAGATCTTCTCAAGAACCACTAACCCAAAAAAGTTGAAACTTATAGGAAACCTTTGTTACATAGTGTAGATTAAAGTTAATTCAAATCATGACCCCCGGGGGTAGGGTGGGGCCACAATGGAGGATCAAAGTTTTATATAGGAAAAAACTTTAAATAATCATCTTCTCAAGAACAGCAAAGCCATGATCTTTTTTCTCAAGAACAGCAAAGCCATGTTTAGTCATTGATATGGAAGCATCCTCGGGTAGTGTAGATTCAAGTTTGTTCAAATGAGGACCCCTTGGGGTAGAGAGGGGCCACAATGGGGAATCAAATTTTGACAAAGGAATAAATAGGAAAAAATCTTTAAAAATCTCAAGATCAAGAACAACAAAGCCATTTGTTATATTGATATGAAGCATCCTCATGTAGTTTAAAATTCACCCCCCCCCCATGTAAACCTTTCAATACTGAATTGATTTGTGCTTTTTCCTAGGCATTGTGCTCAGGTGAGCGATGTGACCCATGGGCCTCTTGTAAGTCTTAGTATTTTATTGTCCGAATTTCAACCCCAAACTTCAGGCACTTGTTAAGGTACAATATAGAAAAACTGCACGGAGTCGGACACTTTCAACTGTTTAATTTACGAACTATATTGGGTTTTCTGACTAGCGAACCTTCGGACCAATAGGCCTTCGGACTAGTGGACCGTCGGACTACAGAACCTTCGGACTATGGACCGTGAAATTGCTGATTGTTTCATCGGTGTGATGTGTCCAAGGAACTGTAAATTGTTTCAGTAACTTTGCGTTAAAATTGAAAGTGAATTTAAGAGCGGGCTAAATTTGAAAGTTTGTGTTTATTTTTAAAGGTTTTGCTTGCTTCGGCAAAATAAACAATTTATTGCATGAATGTTCGGGAAACATGAAGATTCATTCAGCCAAGAAAAATCATATTCTCCTCGGGCGAAGCCCGCAGGGAATATGATTTTTCCTTGGCTGAATAAATCTTCATATTCCCCCCATGATCATGCAATAAATGTATAATATGACAATCGTGCCTTGGTAGTAATTTGGACATTGAGAGATGGTGTCTTATTTAATCAAGGTTCATTTCAGTTATCAAACATTTTGATGCAAATTAAATTTAATTTGCAATTTGTTTAAATTAAAAAGACATTATGGTATATCTGAATACAAGCAATGAGGCGGCTGCAGCCTTTCCGTGTTTGGAGCTTTTCAGTGTGTAGCAGTCTTGGTTACTTTTCTGGTGCATTTAGCATAAAATTTATAGAATACGGTTAATAAATATTGTATTGATTTTTTAGATTATTCACAAACACACACACACTCACTTAAAATACAAATGTCCTTTGATTCCTTCGCAGAATTTTCCAATATACACTGAATAAAGACTGTCAGAGTTAAGACATTTTAATAATAAAGGGTAAAGTTTTATAATAATGAGTTTCAAATGGCAAGTTGCTAAAGGTTTTGTTTACATGCCATTCTTCTAAACACTGAAGAGCATAGGGTTGATAGTTGTAGTAAAGTTTGTTCACAAATAGCTCTCTTTTGGAAACGAGCTCGGTCAGATCTCCTATTCCAAACACACACACTCCCCTAATAAACTTCCCATGACAGGGATTCACTCCACCCCAAGCTGCGTACACCGCCAACCATGGCTTCTTGTCGGGCACATCTGTAAAGAGAGTAGTGGTATTGTTTCAATAATAAACATAATTTTTTTGAAACCATTCGTTTTTATTTAAACCAATATTTTACTTATTTTCATCAATATACAGGTTTATTTTCATTCTATATAACAGTTAAGCGAAAGACAAAAACAGAATAAGATATCCTCATCGCTTTAGAAAAATATGTACCTTGAACAATGTTCATTATTTTACTTGTTTCCGTTCAATTTATATAATGTTAATCTTCATTCTGTTTTGGTTTTCTAACAGTCGGGACGGTTTTCCTGAACGAGGAGATAAACAATTACGTCAGGGGAGCCACATTTTGAACGGAGATTTTAGTGAATGTTTTTATGGTGGGATTTACATGCCTAGACGGTAAGCAATTTGAAAATAATAGTGACAGAGAGTTAATTAAACAACTAAATGACTTAAGGACATACGCAACGTAGTTTGATCTTTATTGTCTTTTCCCCTGGAGTTGAAGAGTTCCAATACTTAAAGGAACTGTGTGCTACATTTTAATGTCTATATATGCTATTGTTCACTTCTTCTAAAACAAGTTTTGATAAACAAAACATCTAGAATATATGTTTAGTAATTCTTGTATATTTTTCTTTGAATTATACAGGAATTTTCATCAATTGATATCTTTTCAAAACCCCTGGAAATGCATGCTGATTTTTTGTCTACGAACTTCTGATGGCACTATAATCTTAAATTAAGAATATCTTGAAAAATTATCAGTAGGTAAGGTACATTGCGTATGTCCTTAACTGAAGTGAACGACAGTGTCGCCTAGGTGAATAATTCTTGATATAGCCGGCCGAAGTTGGGGCTGAATTCCCAGACATGAATTATGAAGGACTGTCCGGAGATTCGGTGGGCGTCAGACCAAATATCTAGCCTAGCCGAATCTCCACCGAGATTACACATGAACTAAAAATATTGAAAGGTTCATGTATGGTCATGACATTCTACCTACCGTAGTAACCTCCAGGAGCATTTACAACCTTGTTAAAATTCAATGTGGCCCAAAAGTATTCATCGGGACTTTTAACATCCTCGCACCATTTTAAAACATCTTTTGCCATTTTATCGTGTAGTGCAAAGTTGATAAAATCCCTGCTGAACACTCCGTACGCGCTTCCTTTCACCACTTTGATACCGTGTGGCGGCGGCTCCTTTTTCCTCCCAGTATTTACAATTTTATTGTTTTCTAATTTGAAAGAAGAAAGATAACGTGATCTGTACATTCTCCCTGGAGTCGTTATGCCTTCGATGTCATTAGCACCATTGTATAGTTTTAAAATTTTAACCAACTCTGCATTTGTCTTTAATGGATATTGCTGGTGTGGAATATTAATTAAGTACTTCCACGAAACATTACGAAAATTTAACAAATCTGACATGCAGTTTAAATCCGCCTGTAGGCGGGAAAATCCTGCATATATAACTTCCTCTAATTTCGAGGCGATGAACACATTTTGAAGACAATTTCCAATATTTTTTATTGCTCGATGTAACGAAGGATGTGCTTTTTTGTCTATATGAATACAGTACACATTATGAGGTCTATAAATTGATCGAAGGAGTTGTTCAGTTTGCATGGCCTCTTTGTAGGTTAATATACTATACGCTATAGGAAAAGACAATTCCTCCTTGGTCACTTTAAAGTTTCCGTAATCATATTTTTTTAGAAACGTTTCACAGTTTTCAGCTACATCTCCCATTTCTGCATCACTTTTAAATGCAAATTTTTTGCCGTCCATTATATTTTTGGCACTTTGTATATATTTTTCATCACCTTCTATTATCCGCAGACAATCGACGTCTGTTACTAATCGTTTCGGACCATGATGATAATGACATGTAGAACAAATCAACGACTCCTTCTTTGGCACGACTGTGGAGTTGTAAGCACGAAAAGCACTAGATCGTGTTGATTCTTCCATATCAAATATTAAATACGAATTGGTGACAATAACGATGGTTACAGCAACTGTAAATCCACAGAGACATTGTTGCACCTGTCGGGCTCGTTTTCTCATATTATGCCGACCTTCCAACTATCGCCTGTGGGAAAAAAATTCATTAAATATAAGCTACCTTCCAGTCATAATTTATTTCAAAATAAGTCCACAAAATTTTCCTTATTATTCCGTTACATGTGAATCAGGGGGTCTCTTTAATATACTTACGTTTGGTTATTTTAATATTTTTAAAGATTGACTTCGGGTAATGTACACTAATTGACGACTGAAAAGTTTGGAGTTGGTTGAAAGTATGTTTCTATTGTCATTAAACCAAGTACAAGCTCAGCTCAAAATTCAGACTTCCAAAAAGAACTAAAGCCACCGTTAGTCGTTTATCATTTTACCCTACACGGTAGGAGAATACGTCGAGCAAATTGGTAATTCTATCAGACAATCATCGTCGTAAGTTTGACGCTGCTCGACGCATGCATATACTTTCTAAAGCTTCAAATTTTGCTTGAATTGTATATTATTTGTCCAAAAGCGCAGGTAATTGGCTATATTGTGAAGTTTTGTCCCATATTTGGATATTTTAATTTTAAAAAATTAGACATTTGCTTAATTTTCAGGATGAATAGCTACTGCCAAAAGCGAAAGACACTATGATTGCAGACCGTATAAAAATAATTGCGTTTTATTTGAACGTAAATGTAGTGATAGCTTAATTTTCAGGATGAATAGCTACTGCCAAAAGCGAAAGACACTATGATTGCAGACCGTATAAAAATAATTGCCTTTTATTGGAACGTAAATGTAGTGAGAGTTCTGTCCATGACTTGCATAAATCTTCGATGTATGCGCAAAACTGGCTACTCGCCTGTTTAATGGAGGAATAAAGGGGAATTCGAGTGTGTGCATAAATGAAATTCCCGAAATTAACAAGTAGTTTTTCTATTTTTTTTTTTTTAACAAAGATGGAGTGAGACTTCGTTGCTTAAAACACCTTCGACTTATCATCCGTGACCCGTAATGCGATAACAAAAAACATAAAGTTCATTATCTTAAGTCAGCATTTCGTAAATTATTATTTTAAGTCAGCATTTCGTAAATTCTATGGTCGTTATAATGATCTTTTTAGTAAATACAATATCATTAGGTAGTATTTTGGCAGACGTGTTACATACCAATTGTAAGGTCTTTGTAAATATTTTTACACTAAATTTGATGTATATTGATGAAAAATGTACTATAGAAAAGTTCAAAATTGAGAATATATTGTTGAATATTTTCACTCTAGACAACTGGTTCTAAAAAATAATCGTTCTCATCACTTTTGATTACCTACATTTTTTACATTTCGTTACTTCGTAGAAAGCCATGCGACATTTCAGACCTTAGAATTTCTAGTTAAAAAAGCCAACGAACAATTGATGTTATTCAGGGAACTGAAAGATAAGCACTTTATCAGGTTAGGGCATCCCACACAACTGAACCTATGCACTTCATGCGTCTCTGTGCATTTATAAACAAAGTGAAATAATTGTGTCTACAGTTTAGGGGATTGTAAGCCATCGTACGTCATCAGATAAAAATTACGAGAAACAGAACAACCTCTGTGGAGCTGTTTCTACAGATTAAATTTGTTGTTGGACAAAAATTACGCAAACGGGTCAGAATGTGTCTGCTGTTTGTATTTTAGTGCACAATTGCTTTTGTGTCAAATTTGTAGACTTATAAAGTGTAAAAGGCTAGAATTTGTTTGCTGTTACTATATTTTTGTACTCTTATTGTTTTCAATCCTCACAATATCTGACTGCTTAGAATTTGTCTGCTGTTTCAGTGTGTAACATGACAATTGATAGGAGTGACTGGAACAAGCATTATCATGCCTAAGCCTGCCATATGTATTGTTATATTAATTTTACCTTTATTCCCTACCAAAGTAGCTTTTGGCTCACGGTGTTAACATTTCGACTTTTTGAATGATGTCAATGTGATAACATTACTGTATTTCTGAAATATGAAGATAATGAACAGTAATCAAGCTCAAAAGTCCATGGAAACCATACGTACAAAATGGGATCAGAGCAAACACAGACGTCTGAAACATCAGAAGTGGGATCAGGTGCCATGAAGGAGAAGCATTCCATGTTATTACATGCCGTGTGCGTGAACGGAAAAATCCGTAAACAATTCAGTGTGAAAATAGAAGCCTAACAATTTGAATGAAAAACGTCAATATTTGCTAATCCTACTATTGTTCATCTCTGATGTATAGTGTCTCAGAATAGGAAACGATTGCCAATTACACTGCACGGTTTTATTTTCACAAATCTTGGGTGGCGCAGCAACAAACATACTTAAAATAGCATGTATGTCTGCTTGTGGCTTCTTTGTGACCAACCTTTCAATTTTTTTTTATGATTATGATATTTAAGATGTATTTTAGTGAATGTATTTAATTTTTTGAAGTTGTAGCTGTGGGATATCCAATAAATGGCTAATTACCATGTCTCTTGGAGCATGTTTGATTGTTTACCTTTATATCCAAGCCAAATAATTACTTGCATTTTGTTTGTCATGTTTTCGTCATTAATTTAATTGACATTTTCACTCGCATTACGTCGCCCGTGCGGTGCAGTTGTTTGATCGGAGTCAAACTGTACGAGGGATGTCCAGTAAAATCGTGGACAGAGCGCTTTTGTTGAAAAATATTGGGCGAACTAAGCTGAAATTTTAAGCAAATGTTTATAAACTTCGCTGACACGTTGATTTACGGAAAATATATTGTAAACTATGAAGAACAACGTATATCTAATTAAATTCTCATCTTTTGTTCATAAGTACGTAAAATATGAGGTTCATTTACTAAAATATGGAAAATATACGATGATTTTTACTCAGTGGTCTTAGGATTCACGGAGCAATCACTTGACTTTTTATTACGTTAGGTGACGAGACAACCTGTTTCCAGACCTAGCTGTGTTCTAAATATCTTTTATTTCTATAGATTTTCATGTCTTTTTCTGACTTAAAAATTGAATAAATATCAAGACATGTTATTTCTTTTGTGGCGTATCGAAAATTAGTGAAATCTTTAAACCAATGTCTACGCAGTTAAGCGATCAGATACATGTATGTTAAACAATGCAAAATTCATAAGCGCAACGTCCATGCGATGAGCAGGATTTTGGGATATCGCAGGAGTTGATAATCAAAAATGTCCATCCTTCCATTCTTACAACGCTGCTATTACTTGAACACTTTAGTACTTGATACGTGTAAGCCATCCTCAGCAGCATCTAAAACATTTAAATCTCTTTCGGACATTTTCCTGTCTGCACACATATTTTTTTTTATTATAGCTCCGTGCTCCAAGATGTTCATTGACGTTACCATTTTTGGCTTTGTTTTTTCGCACTGATCAGCTATAATTAGCGATAAAACAGTCATATCTCCTCCAATTTAAGTAATAATTTCGCCAAATGACGTTTCATGATTATCTTAGCGAGAGGCAAAATATCAAAAATCTTTATACGCTACAACAGTGCAATTTTTTAATTTCAAAATAATGTCTCTAAAATATAAAAATGCGAAAAAGTAACATGCTCCGTGAAGCATGTTTTATCTAAATAATTTAGCTGTATATTTTCTAAGGTTCATCTGAAAACACCAAATCTTTGCATATTTATTGGAAAATACGTATGTTTTCTTATCTGCAGAATTTTACTGATTTCATGCAAATAGCGCGCTCACAATAGAACTTATCCGCGAACTTTTCTAACAACGCTCGTAAGTACATCTTAATTTTTTTGATAAAATGTAGACAAAAATAAACTTCATCATACTTGAATGTGTACAGGGTACGGTCCTATGCACGGTCATAAAATGCAGGTTTCAGTAGAGAATACGCGAGTATTATTTAGAAATCTAATGTTTTACATAGATATGGTTGGAGTGAAAATTATCATATTTTTAAACCATTATTTTTTTATGTCGTCATTTGGAAAATTTCAAGGAATTTGCTTAATTTATGGCAGTTTCCCGAGCATTTGAAATGGGAAAGTGGTCAACACAACACACGAAAAATGGCGACGTTTACAGCGCACCGGATAACAGTTCAGAAGGATTAGATGTAGTAATGACGCCCTTAGAGACTTTAAATGACTACAGAAGAAAAAAAAAATATAAAAATATCACTTGATGTTGAGTATACAAGTGAAATAAGCGGAGCTTTTTGATCGAGTCCCCGGGTAGAACTAAACATAAGGACAAACAGCTACTGGCAATTACGAAAGACGCTGACACTGTAAACAGTCGATATAAGCCTAATTAATTGAATGATAGTGAGAGTACTGTCCCTAACTTACTAAAAATCTTCAGAAGGTCCCATGTGCGTGCGAGATTGGTTCTTCGACTGTTTATGGGGGAATAAAGGGAAACTCGTCTATTGGCATCAATGAAATTCCCGATTTTAAGTGGGGTTTTCTTAAGCAAAGAAGAAACTTGACACTGCTTTAGACACTTTGACGTTATCATCCGTGTGCCGTAAGGCGATACCACACATAATAAAAAATCTCATATTTTGTTTATTTGAGCATCTATCTACTCCAAATTTTGATGAAAAATTTACAAAAGTGTAGTAAAAAGTTTAGAACACAGTGATGGTTATTTTTCACTCTAGACAACTTATCCACGATTTTACCGGACAACCCTCGTAAAGAGTTGATCTTCGTATCCACTGTGCGACGTGGAGACCGGTCCCTCGGATGAGGCCATATAAACCTAGGTCCCGTGTCGGCAGAAAAACACTCTTTTCTCAAGGGCTGTAAGTACCGAGTACATGTCTAAATGTGCAGCCCTCCACCGGCAAGTGATGGCGTCTCAATATGAGTGAAAAATTCTCAAGAGGGAAGTTAAACAACAAACAAACATTACGTTTTTCCTCTTATTTTATGATTTATTAGATTCAGCAAAAACTAGCTGCGAATTATCAGCTTGACACGAGTTGCACTTTGCAAAATTTGTGGATATATATTTAATTTTCAACGTTTATCAAGCAAAATCAAAGAATTGTTGTCCCCCGCTTTCGGTATCTTGGTATCTTGGGTTTAACTGGTCTGTGTCCTGTCTTGTTTGTCCATTTTACAAAAAAGATTTCGGTTTTTGAGTTGAAAAAAAAAAGTTACAGCCAAGATAAAGTTTCGTAAACCAGATCAAGGTCATGAGGCCAAATATCACAATAAAAATCTTAAATTGATTGATTGTATGTTGTTTTACGTCCCCGTTCGAGAATTTTTCACTCATAATGAGACGTCACCATTTTCCGGTGAAGGGCTTCAAAATTAGACCTTTACTAGGCACTCAGGGCCATTGAGCTGTGAGGGATATTTATCGTGCCAACGCATGCCGTGACGCGGGGCCTTGGCTTTTAAGGTCTCATCTGGATGACTTGCAGATTTCACTTCAAAAAAAAAAGTTGCTACCTATATTTTATCGGCTTAGGTCAGTCGCAGCCGGGGCTCGAAACCACGACCCTCCAATCATGGAGCGAGCGCTCTACAAACCTCTCGTCACAAGTATCATGTGTGAAACAAGATGTGTTTGTGAAACACTGATGCCTCCGTATGGCAGCTTATTGCGAAGGTTAAAGTTTCTCAAATGCAAGTCAAAACCCAGGCCAAAAGATAAAAAATGTTGGTACCCGAAGAAAGGTCTTGTCTCGAGGAAAATACCTGTGAAATTTGAAAGCCCTAGCTGTTCAAAAGTTATGGCAAAGGTGAAAGTTTTTTAAAAGTAAGTAAAACGTCAAGGTCAAGGTCAAAGTTGTTGGTATCCAAAGGAAGGTCTTGTCACAAGGATTACATATGTGAAGTATGAAAGCACTAGCACCAACCATACAGAAGTTATGGCCAAGGTTAAAGTTTTTCGAAAGTTGGTCAAAGTCCTATGTCAAGGTCAAAGGGTAAAAGTGGTTGGTATCCAAAGGAAGGTCTTACCACAACGATTACACATGTGAAGTATGAAAGCCCTAGCACCAACCATTCAAAAGTTATGGGCAAGGTTAAAGTTTTTCAAAAGTAGGTCAAACTCCTATGTCAAGGTCAAAGTGGTTGGTATTCAAAGGAAGGTGATGTCGCAAGGATTACATATGTGAAGTATGAAAGCCTTAGCTCCAACCGTTCAAAAGTTATGGCCAAGGCTAAAGTTTTTCAAAAGTAGGTCAAACTCCTAGTTCGAGGTCAAAGGGTCAAAGAGGTTTATATCCAGAAAAAGGTCTTGTCACAAGGAATACACGTGAAGTTTGAAACCCCAAGCACCAACTGTTCAAAAGTTATGGCCAAGGTTAAAGTTTTTTCAAAAGTAGGTCAAACGTCAAGGTCAAAAGGTCAAAGTTGTTGGTATCCAAAGGAATGCCTTTTCACAAAGAATATACTTGTGAAGTTTCAAACCCCAAGCACCAACTGTTCAGAATTTATGGCCAAGGTTAAAGTATCATAAAATTTTGCAAGAGTGGGTCAAACTCCAAGGTCAAGGTCAAATATGATGGTACCCAAAGAAAGGTCTTGTCACAAGGAATACACATGTGAAATATGAAAGTCATAGCTCCAACCAATCAAAAGTTATGGACAAGGTTAAAGTTGACAACACACAGACAGATAAGACAGGACAAAAACAATACACCCCCGGGATCTTTCGATCCAGGGGCATAAAAAAATTAAGCCCCGTCTCTGCTGGAGCAAAAGTTACCATCAATGTTAAAATTTTAAATATGCAAGTCAAGGCCATGAAATAGGGAAACCCTATCTACTCTCATTCAAAAGTTAATAATAAATGTTTTTAAAAAAAATTCAGAAGTACTGTAGGTTAAACTTCAAGGTCACGAAGTGAAAAGCATAGTAGATTCAGATAGGTCTTATAACAGGTAATACACATGTCAAATACGAGTGCCCTATCTTCTCTCAATCAAAAGTTATGACCAAAGTAAAAGATTTATAAAGTGACATATATAAATGCGATTTAGTAATGTCCCCTCGTTTTGGCGAAAGCGGGGGACGAAAAGAATGTCATTGCATATGTTACACTGTAACGTTATTTGATACAGATATAAAACAAAATAATGTAAAATAGCAATATTAAAAGCAGGATCAACAAGTACAGATCTATAAGGGTGCTCATACTTAAAACAAGAAAAATGTGCACTTATTGAGATTACTACGAACAGGAATTACTTTACATGTACTGCGTTTATTTGTGTTATATGCTTTCTCTAGAGAAAAGATTTCGCTCCCTTTTCTATTTACAGAATGTTTCACTTATTAAGACATGTTAAGGCCAGGTCTGCCTAATCTGTTGCAATTTTTTTTTCCTTATAATTTCTACCCTGGCCAAGGTGATAAAAAATTTGATATGAAAAGTACCAGATTATTTGACTAATAAAGCATATTGATTAAAAATTATTTGCCTTTTCTCATTTACTAAGTCAGAGATCGGAAACATATGTCTCCGTCATGTATAATTGAATCGCCTGTTAAAAGTATTCGTACAGTGGATTAAGCTTTTCTTCTATTCTATCAGTTATTATATGCAAAGATATTTTATCACATAGTTACACTGTACATTGACAATTCACAACTTGTTTGCAAACTTTCAATTAAACCGTCAGTCGGGTATTATTTCTAATAGTGATAAATAAACGGTGCCTAACTTTTCTCTTGGATCTTTTACCTGGTGTCGTTTGGATCAATAAAAAAAAAATAGTTCAGTGTTACTCCTATTTTTCAAACTAATAATTTATATAGTTTGCGAGAAACAGTTTTAAGAGAGACATTAAAAGATACAACTGACCTACCTCATTACAAGCCTTGAACATTAGTCCCTTAGTGGAACCTTTATAAATCTGACATTTTAACTGTTGAGCTTTTTATCACCCCATGATAAACCGCTGCACCTTATGTATACACACGATACCGCATATCAATAGTCGCTGGGTAATGTTTAATGACTGTACATGACTTAGCGCTGTATTGATGATAAGTGAAGAATTCAAGGCTTTGTTTGACAGACGCGGTGAATCTAGCCAAAATTTAATAAAGCAAAAATCAAACACCGAATTATTTACCAACAATTTTTAGCTGACATTTTCTTGAATCAACTTTTTCGAGAAGATTGTCCAGAAAAGCAGCGAAATGCAAAAAATCGACACCAAAAATGACAAACAAAAGAAGGTTACTACAAATTAAAATCGATTTCCTATATGTATTCTATTTAAGGTTTGCCATCATCCCAAACATATAGAGCAGATACACGTTGGAAAATGTTACCGTTGGTTAAATGGCTACATGTCTGTATTTGTTTTAAACCATTTATCACATTAATGTGGTCGAGGGGAATTATTGATTGTTTAATGATTTTTATATTCAACTTTGCTCAGTGTGACTTGGTGAAATTTTTTTTTCTTTATGACTGAATTGTAAATTCATACCAGAAAATCTCTGTGACTTTTATTTTCCACTTCGTTATTATCAATAACGAAATAAAATCCGTACCTAACTGAATCTTATAAGGGTCAACACGCTACCTCATTGAGCTAAGATTAAACATAAAGACAATCATATTCAAAATGCCATTTAACTTTTAGTCAAGAAAAGATATTTCGATCGTTAAGAAAAATTATCTGGAATGCGTGGCTTTATAAATTCGAAATTTTTAATAATTTTTGGGACATAAGATTAAGGAATGCAAACATTAACATTGTCGAATTCCTTACCTCAGGATTCTAAGTCCACCAATTTCCATTCGCTTTTAATAGTCAGATATGATCAATACAACACACAGTTCTTGTACTACTCTGAACACCACTGTCAGTATTGATTTTGTGGGAGAAGCAAGACTACGCAGACCAGCTGAAATAATTCGATCTACAGATGTGTTTTTCATACCAATCTGAATAAGTCCGATTTGAACCAAGTTTGTTTGAGATGTGTAATAAAACTTTGAAAAAGATGTATTCTTATATCATATTCCTATAAATATTACTGCAAAGTCACCTTATTCCAAATCGTCTCAAACTGTATAATTCTGAACGGACACTCACATCACTTCATCATATCTGTGTGATAAATTGTCATTCCGACAAAGGTAATGGCAAACATGCATTTGAAGAAAATACATTTCTTCCTATAAGCCAGGGAAAACTGACAAGTACCTTTGTTATGGCTTTATTCACGTTTTATTTAACATTCTCAGCACCGGGAAACGCTCCACTATCAGATAATGTAGTAATGTAGTAATTAGTTTGATTCCTACTCAGCGAGCTAGCAGTATATACAAAACTCTGCCTACTCTCAAAGAAATCAAAACACAGAATTATGAACCTGGATTATTATGTACCCCTTAAATATAAATTTTAAAAAGGGGGGGTATTTATTTGCACCTGTCGGTTGGTTGTCGGTAGACCAAGTGTTGTCCTGGCCCTTTACTTAACAGACATCAAACTTAAAGACACTTGCTATAAATAAGAAAATATGATGCATAGAAAGGTGTATATTTTTTGAGTAAAGTTGATTGTAAATGATGCAAATAACAAGTTCTTAAGGAAATATATGGAGAAAAAGAACAGTATTCAAGCTCAAAAGTTCATTAAACAATACAAAATAGGAGCAGAGCAAACTCGGACCTCTAAACAACAGAGGTGGGATCAGGTGCCATGGAGGAGTGAGCATCCCCTGCCGACCGGTCACACCCGCCGTGTGCTCCTTGTCATGATCGGGAAATAACGGAAAAATCCGTCGGAGGGATATTTCTTATATTTAAATATCAATGAAATATCCATAGATTCAAGAAGACATTTTCCTTGACATTAAAATGAAAAAATACTGTTGCCAATCATGCGATCCCTACTTCTATTTCAAAATATTAAATATTTTTCTTTTTGCATAAAAAGACATTACTATAAAGGGTCTATCATATGATACTAACAAATTGACACAAATAATTTTTGTCTTATCCGAATTTCCTCTATTTTTCTTAAATTTTTAGGATATACATGTATTGGTTATTTTTATATACTTCGTATATTTGAATTTTTCTTATTTTTATATACTTCGTATATTTGAATTTTTCTGATTTTCACATAAGGTAAAGTAGTCATATAAAGATAAAAAATGATACAAAAACAAAAAAGTTTTGACCGTTTACTAAGAGAGAAAAAACACTTTTAATTGTTTTTAGCTCAAATCATCTATACTTAGATTGGAAGCTTTTAAAAGCTAATAAAAATGTAGTTTGTTTGGAAAATCATATTTATTTGATACATTTTAAAACTTTAGTCTATTGTTATTTATTTTACTTGCATTTGAAAATTTCTTTAAGTCTCTGGTTGTTAAATTTTTTAAAACTGAATTCATTGTTCTATACATTCAGTAATTTTGAGAAGCAGAAAAGGTGATATTTCCACCGCCACCGTTCCGCCAAAAATATAGTCCAAACTCAGTTTACAATTTCTATTTAAAATGTACAATTATGACGAGGAAAGAAAAATATGATCTTTTAAATTCCTAACATCTAAATATAAAAGACATATAAACAAACATACTTCGAATATTTCATCTAGTCAGAAACCAGACAAAATCTTAAAAAGTTGAGAAAAAAAATTTTATGATGTTCAAAATTCGTAAATTTTCCCATTCACCTTATAAATCGTTACAATTTTTTAACGATTCTATAGACATTACGGAGAAAATTTGATGAAAAAAAACTATGTGCTAGATTTTATTCATATCGTTTAAGTATAGATTTAAACAAAGTATCTGTTTCCCTGATTCTTCAAACAAGTTTGTTTGTAGCAAGTGGCCTTTACACACTGGTTTTTCTAATTTATTTTTTAGTCAAGGTCATGGGTGAAACTTGACATATGTTGAGAACTCAGTATCTTGGAAACCCTTTGCTTGACGGACATCAAACTTTATACATTGGTACCTTCTAAAATATAAACTACACCTAATTTATTGAGATATGATAGAGAACAAACTGAATATTATGTTTGCCACTGACTAGTAGATAACCCATTCCTTTCACTATCACACATTCTTAATATTAAAAAAAAGATTTTTTAGCTAACCTGAGCCGAAGGCTCAAGTGAGCTTTTCTGATCACATTTTGTCCGTCGTCCGTCCGTCCGTCTGTAAACTTTTCACATTTTTGACTTCTTCTCAAGAACCACTGGGCCAATTTTGACCAAACTTGGTACAAAGCATCCTTGGGTGAAGGGGAATTTAAATTGTTAAAATGAAGGGCCAAGTCCCCTCCCAAGGGGAGATAATCAAGAGAAGACAAAAATAGGGTGGGGTCATTAAAAAATCTTCTCAAGAACCACAGGGCCAGTAAAGCTGAAACTTATATGGAAGCATCCTGGGGTAGTGTAGATTCTAAATTGTTCAAATCATGACCCCCGGGGGTAGGGCGGGGCCACAATGTGGAATCAATGTTTTACATAGAAATATATAGGAAAAATCTTTAAAAATCTTCTTCTCAACAACCACTGGGCCAGAAAAGCTGAAACTTATGTGGAAGCATCCTGGGGTAGTGTAGATTTTAAATTGTTCAAATCATGACCCCCGGGGGTAGGGCGGGGCCACAAGAGGGAGTCCAAGTTGTACATTGAAATTAATAAGAAAAATCTTTTAAAATTCTTCTCAAGAACCACTTGGCCAGAAAAGCTGAAACTTATGTGGAAGCATCCTGCGGTAGTGTAGATTCTAAATTGTTCAAATCATGATCCCCTTGGGGTAGGGCGGTGCTACAATAGTGAGTCAAAGTTTATATTGATATATGTAGAAAAATCTTTTAAATGTTTCTTAAAAATCAAAAGCCAATGGGTCAAAAAAAATTAAACTTATATGGAAGCATCTTTAGGTAGTTTTTATTTTAAATTGTTTAAATCATGGGGAAGGGTGCTGTTTTTTTTTCCGTAGTCTTTTTTGCGATCGGGTTCGTTATTCCGAATATTACGATATACGATATCAGAACGAGGCTCTTTGTTACAAATGAGATTATAATGGTCCTCTTGTATTCACAAAAAAAAAAAAACCCTGAGGACATGATGGATTTTGCAGATGCCTAAATGCTGAATAACTGGGTAATTTACCATGAATGTTTTACTCTTGAACTTTAAAAAATATTAAAATTGGTTACATAATACTTAAGTGACCATTAAGGCCCATATTCCTCTTTTTGCTTTTTCATAGCCACAATGCTCAGGTGAGCGATGTGGCCCATGGGCCTCTTGTTTTAATACTGCAGGGGGGGGGGGGGATATGTTTCTGAAATATTGTTTTAAAAATAGTCGGCGTCAAATATTTTAACCTGATTCACTCAAGCAATTTAATATAGTATTACATACTGTCCATTTTTAGGTCACCTGAGTCACTCAGGTGACCTATTGCTATCTCTTTTCGTCCGTCGTCGTGCGTCGTCCGTCGTTCGTAAACTTTTGAACATTTTCAGCTTCTTCTCTGGAACCAGTGAATCAATTTCAACCAATTTTGGCATATAGCATCTATGGGTGAAGGGGAACAAAAATTGTGAAATTCGTGGCCCCTGCCCCCCTAGGGCCTGAGGGGTGGGGCAAAAACCATCAAAATTAATGCAATCTTTAAAAATCTTCTTTACTCCTGGACATCAAGCAGTCAAACTGTTGGCATGATTGTAATAAGCATTGAGCCCTCTACCAAAATTGTGAAATTCATGACCCCAGGGTCAGGGGTTCTGGTGCTAGGGCGGGGCTATATAGATCATATAGTGAAAGTGCATTATTTCTTTGAAAATCTTCTTCTCCACTCCTGGGTATTATTGAAACAAATTGAATACATAGTTATGATGAGCAAGAGTGACTCTACCAAAATTGTGAAATTCATGGCCCCAGGGTCAGGGGTTCTGGTGTTAGGGCGGGGCTATATAGATCATATAGTGAAAGTGCATTATTTCTTTGAAAATCTTCTTCTCTACTCCTGGGTATTATTGAAACAAATTGAATACATAGTTATGATAAGCAAGAGTGACTCTACCAAAATTGTGAAATTCATAGCCCCAGGGTCAGGGGTTCTGGTGTTAGGGCGGGGCTATATAGATCATATAGTGAAAGTGCATTATTTCTTTGAAAATCTTCTTCTCTACTCCTGGGTATTATTGAAACAAATTGAATACATAGTTATGATAAGCAAGAGTGACTCTACCAAAATTGTGAAATTCATGGCCCCTGGGTCAGGGGTTCTGGTGCTAGGGCGGGGCTATATAGATCATAAAGTGAAAGTGCATTATTTCTTTGAAAATCTTCTTCTCTACTCCTTGGTATTATTGAAACAAATCGAATACATAGTTATGATGAGCAAGAGTGACTCTACCAAAATTGTGAAATTCATGGCCCCTGGGTCAGGGGTTCTGGTGCTACGGCGGGGCTATATAGATCATATAGTGAAAGTGCATTATTTCTTTGAAAAGCTTCTTCTCTTCTCCTGGGTGTTATTTAAACAATTACATGGTTATGATAAGCAAGGATGCCTTTTCCAAATTTGTGAATTTCATGACCCCTGGATCAGAGGTTCTGATGTTAGGGCGGGACTCTATTTATTATATAGTGAAAATGCGTTAATGCTTTAAAAATCTTCTCTGCACCTGAGCATATCAGAGGCAAAAAGAGTAAAAGTTTTAATAAGGAAAGGTATTTTTACCAGATTTTTGAACATCAAGACCATTTGGTCAAGTGTTCTAGTCCAGGCCAGGGCTCTATTAATTTGTATTCTACTGAGAGGAGTTATTCCCCTTTGCCATTTACTTGTGATAATTAATCACTGTAAATAATGTACTTGAAAGGTTAAAAGAATAAGAGAATTATGCAAGAATTTTTATTGTATAATACAAAAAGTACTTTCATAGTTTTAATGATCAGGTAGACACATTAGAAATAGAATGACAATTGTGAAAACA